TTTGTTAAGTTATTAATTAATATTCAATTTATAATATAGTTTATAATCATAGTAAAAAATTATTTCTATTAAAATAAAATATAGAACAAGTTCTTATGTAAGAACTTATTGTAACAGGGGGGAATAAGCCGTGCAAACGGGGAAAATATTTGTACAACATCCCTCGGTGGAGAGCTAATCGCCACTCTGTTAAGTACGTATAAGGTATGCATGATCCTGCCGTTTCGTTTGACTCAAGCTCCAACCTTACGTATTTCCCTTAGTTGAACACACCTTAAGTCACCTGATTTGCGATACTTGTCTTCCACATGGTATGTAGATGTTGATATTTACTTGTTACAATCCCCTAGATCAAATAATAACCATAGACAAAAGTCTTTTGCGCGCGCGTATAGGTTTACAAACTCAGGCGGGAAGAAAGAGAGAAAGAATATACGAAAATAAATTGGCGCGAACTAACACTCAGTACGGCTCTATAATAAACTACTCGGCGTTAATCCTACTTATCATGCAATACTAATCTAAAATAATGTCGCGAATAAAGTAGGTGCACCTACCCTTCGTTGCGGTTACGGTGATCAACCGTAACCATTTGTGCAACAAAACTATAGGTGCTCCCGATCTCTGTGGTTGCTGCTGCTGCTACCGTTGCTGGCTCAGACTGCTGCCGCTGTCGGTATTGTTGCAGTTGCTGTTGTAGTGGTTATTATAATGGTTACTTCTTTTCTGGGCTGCTGTTGCTGCTGTCACTCACAAATCATCAAGAACTTCATGCAGGGAAGGAAGTAGCAAAACACACTCGGCACCGGCTCAGACGAAGCTAAAATATTTTCCGCGCGTGCCCCCTCTTTCTCCAAATAGTTAACTCGCGCGCCTCGATCGCTACCGAATCACGAATGAATTGATACTCCTATCGATTGCCGTTGCATTATATTATTTCTTACATCTATCACAAGAATCTACATAAGATCTTGCGTTGTCTGAAGCCAATTTCTTATGCAAATTCTTATGGATGTTCTTGCACAAGAACTTGTCAGATAATTTTTAGGAGGGCGTGTTTGTGTCTGTGTGTTCGGTAAAATGCAGGAGATATTTAATGATAACAAAAATCTTCCTAATAATATATTAACTTTGTTCATTAATATTATAAAATCCACACGATAAATTATATTTATTATAAATATGTGTTTAATTGAATTGCTTAGGAACTTTAACATATGCAGTTTCAGTTAAATGTGTTCAAAATAAATAAACAAAAAAGTTTTCTAAGCTGAAGTTGAGAAATATTTATATTAACTTTAGAAAACGGTAATAATATTAGTACATAAGCAATGTATATCCTGGAACATAAAGAGGCCGCCCGAAGAAGGTGTTGCGTTTTCGCGATAGTGTGACACCTGTCTGTCTGCCAGTAGGCCTTTTCGCCGTGTTCTAGCAGAGTGCACTCCCTCTTATAGAGATTGTTAAGGTAGAATGCTGTAGAAGTTGGTAGGACGTTTGATAAACTATATGCTGGCAAGGCGTAAGCCCTCGGAGAGGGATTAGCGTCTCTAGCTTCCTAGACGCGTACATCGTATAGCGTGGATGCTGCTTGTGGTCAGGGAGTGGGTAGTGCCTCCCGATGACCCCCCAGAGTCGTTCCTTGACCTAGTCACGACGTCCCTCCTTAATAACAAATAATAAAACAATAAATTTTATTAAGTTATATGCTGGGTAGGTGTGGGTCCTCGGACAAGGGGTAGGGTCTATAGCTTGGTAAGCTATATGCTGGTTAAGCGCGTACACTGTTTAGTGTGAATGCTGCTCTCTCTCTCTCTCTCTGGTACGTATCACACCTACTTTTTTCGCTCTGCTGATTATCTGCTTTACTCACCTCATTTTCCTCCTTGGAGTGAAAACTAAACTTTGCAGGGTAATCGTCATCTGCGGCTCTCATGAGTGGGCAATAAATCGCAATTTTTATTGCCTTTTTCGAGCCGCAGATGCGATTTAATACCTGGCTACACAACAACATAACCTAAAAACGCTACACCGTCTTACACACCAACGCAAGCAACGCCTCACACACCTACGCCTCAGCACACCTGCGCTTCTACACGCCACGACTTCTGCTCTACCTGTTACATCGGCTGCACCTTGATGCTGCCACATCACCACAACGCATTCTACTAGGCTCCTAGCCATCGTAGACGTCGTCACCTGCACCTTGCCTACATGTTGGTGAGAGAGAGAGAGAGAGAGAGAGTGAAATTTCAAATCATAACCTGTGCATGTGTATCAGGACTCCCTATGTGTCGCCTTCATTAATTCGCTCGACCATACTCAGAACATCGTGCATATTTAATAAAAAAACACCCTATTCTGCACATAATATTATTGCTGAGTCATGCACATATAAGGTTATGTTCGCGTTCTGTTTACCTGTCTGTTCGTCTATTCAGTCGGAAAATGCTACTCCCGCCAGAGGCCGCTAGGCACAAAAATCCACGCGCGACTTTCAAAACTTGAAATCCGACTGTAGCGTCTCCGCTCTTCCTTGACTTCGTCAAGCTCTCTACAGTCGAAAATTTCCTGTCGTTCGCTTACGCGCAGTTCTCTATGTCCGCCGCGTGTGCTAGGTGTCACCACCTGCTTCGTCGTGCCGATAACACGCTACTCTGCACCGATTGTAACGCGCTTTATCACGTTGATTGCGTCTCGCCGTCTCTTCGCCCAAAGAAGTCCGAGTCATTCATCTGTCGCCGACATGTGCTGGTCAGCAGCACTGACTCTTCCCCGGACTCTGTCGTAGCGGCCCCTCCCCTGTCGTTGACCGCGCCCCTGTCGGCCACGCCCTCCATCAGTGAACCCACGCCCATATCGCTATTGCTCGCCTCCAAAAAGCGCTTAGCATCACCAAACTTCGCTACCTCGCGCGCTGCTAAACTCCGTTGCAACTCATCACCTGTGCCTCTCTCTGCACACACCTTTACCTCTCACACTGGGCACTATTCAGAGCTGTCAGCATTGTCGCAGGTACCAGTCACTGCACCCGCGTCACCCTAACACCTCACTGGTCCATCTTGCTCCACCATGTCCGATCAACCCCCTACTTGGTTCAGTGACTATATCAAAGATGGTAAAAAAGAGAGGGACCATGATCGTGCCACTGCACATGAGCACTACGTCTCGCTCGCGGGCTACATGCAGCGCTACACACAGCGCTCAGAGACTATTGAAAGGCTCGCTGCGCACACCGATAACCCCGAGATCATGGTCCGTGGCCTGCCTAATCAATTCAACGGCTCACTTTACGACGCTGCTCGTTTTCTGCTCAGCGCCCTCGGCTTCGGCCATGGCCATGACATGCCCACCATCGAAGCTGCGCGTCAATGGAACTTAGCTGCCCACCCCCGAAACTCCGAACCTCTAGCTGATGCCGCAAATGGCCCCCTCCTTCAGCCTACGACTCCTCCATCACTTTCTCCTTCTACCTCTCCTCCACGGCTCCCCGTGACCACGTCATCGCTGCCTCTGCTCGCCTCCATGAGCTCTCTGCTCAGTCTATCTTTGGGTGCGGTGTAAATGCGCCTGTCTACGTACGCCCTATCTATCCGAAACCTATCTTCGAGCTGTTTACCAAAGCTCGTCTCACTTGTACTGCACTTGGCTATCTTCGCCCAGTCGTTCGGAACCTCCGCGTCTTCGTCCGCCAAAACTTGGACTCGGAGCTCATCTCCACCATCACCGAAGAAGACTTGCAGTACCTTCAGCCAAACCCTAACCACCACGGAACTGGCACCCTGAATGCTGTCACCCCCACACGTGGCTCTAGGCCGCGAATCCCCCGCCAACCCCCGCGCGCTCATAATCAATCCGAATCTCAGCAATCTCGCGGGCAACTACCTCTCTCACAGCTGCACCCCCAACCATTGCAAACTCAACAACCCTACCCCCAGCAACAGTACTCGCTTCCACCATCCTACCCCCAACAACAGCAGCAACAACAACAGCAACAACAACAGACAAATCAACAACAGTATCGGCACCAACAACAACAATTTCAACAGCAACAGCAGCAAATTCAACAACAACCACACCTACAACTTCAACAATTTCAGTATCAACAGCCGCAACCCCTCCAACAATCGCTCTTAAATCCGCCATACCTCCAGCAAGCTCGCGCCAACCCACCCACTCAAAAACAACACAAAAATCCTCCCTTTCAAAATCCAGTCAAGCAACGGCGCCCACCACTGCAACAACCGAATCTTGCCCCTCAACAAACTAACGAGCAACAACAGAAAGCACGCGGCCGCCAACAAACCCCCTTTGCACCACCCATAGCCCCCCTGCTCCAACCAGCCCTTTTCCCACCACCACCCCCGTTCTTACAATCATCAACGAGCTCACACCAGTCACAATTACCCCTCGTTGGGAAATCGCCAACACAAACCACCTCGCCACACTCCTCGTCTATACTGAGCGTTAATGCTGCTGGGCAGAATCAGCCCTCTGCTATGGACACCGTTGATCCCTCAGCATCTCGTCTTGATGTCGTCATCGGCCACTCACCAGCACCATGACCCACGGCACCTTGCGTTCCGCCTCATAACCCACCCCCAATTTTTACTGTTGCGCATGCAAACGTAAACCGTCTCAACCATTCCGGCCACTTTGCGCTACTCGAGGACAGGGTCTCAAATTTTAACTACGATGTCGTAGCGCTCTCCGAAACGTTCCTCGAAGACTCTATATCGGATTCGCACTTATCACTTCGCGGCTACAACCTTTATCGTCACGATAGAACGCTGAAAGAAGGCGGAGGCGTCGCTCTGTATGTACGTGATGTATTCAATGTTAAAATCCTTGCGAAATCACAAGCGTGTGATTACAATCTTTGTGAATTCGTTGCGGCCGAAATAAAGCAAAATAACTACTCACTCCTCGTTGTAGTCGCTTACCGTCGCCCATCTGCCCTTGCCCCCCATAACCTTTTCCAGATTATCCCCCCTTTGCTCATGAACTACCATGATGTGATAATCACTGGAGATCTGAATGCGAATCTGCTGTCTGACACGCTACACTACGCTGCAGTACTCCAGGATCACATTGACCTTCTCGGCCTCAAGGTAGTGTCGCGCCTGCCTACCTGCCACCGTTTTCAGGAAGACCGCTCGTCGCACACACTCCTCGACCTCTTCCTAGTAAAGCACACCACGGACATTCACTCGTTCTCAAAAACTGAGGCCCCCTTCATCGACTGTCATGATCTCATCGAGCTCGTAATCTACGCCACTGTTCCCCCTGACGGTGACAAACTCATCCTCTCTAGGAACCTTCGAGCCATTGACCTTGCACGCCTGAACTCGCTTGTTGCAGGCTGCCTAGCCTCCACCTGTCTCAGCGCTGCCCCCTCAAACTTAGTGAGCTCGGAGATTTCTCAAGTCTCCATCGATGCTTTCGAACGCTCTCTATCTTCTTCTGTCCTTTATGCGTTCGACACCTTGGCACCACTACGCACACTGAAGCTATCTGAAAAAGCTAAACCCTGGGTTTCTGCGGATATCCGCATCCTTATGCGTGCCAGAAACGCTGCCTTTAAGCGCGCAAAAATCTCGCCATGCCTTGGGAACATCCAGAGATATCGTGATCTCCGAAACCGAGTCTCCAATAATTTGGATACGGCCAAGAACACGTATCTCTCAGCTAGGCTCGCCACTGCTACTGACCCCAAGGCAAAATGGCGTGAGCTTCGCTCTATTGGTATCGCTCAAAAGCAAACGCCCTCACCGCTACTGTTCTTCTCCTCTCAGAGCTTAAACAAACATTTTGCCCGCGTAGTAAACCTGCTACCGCCTATTGATGCCAGCACCCTTGAGACCATCCTCTCAACCCCACGTACTCGGCAGTTTGATTTCCCCCAGTTTGCTCTCCATCCTGTCACTGCAAAAGACGTTCATGACGCACTCAGTGCAGCAAACTCAAAATCCAAAGGAGAGGATGGGATCTCGCTTCGTATGTTCTCTATGGTTGCTGACTCGTTCGCTCAATACTACGCTGCGCTCTTTAATCAGTCCATCACCAGCTCGCTCTACCCGTCACTGTGGAAGCGGACTCAAATTGTCCCGGTCTCAAAGGTCAAATCGCCCTCTTCTCTCTCTGACACACGACCCATTGCGAAGCTCTGTGAACCGTCAAAAATTTTTGAGCGCTTGGTTCACCGGCAGCTCTCAGGCTATGTCGAGTCTCACAGGCTACTCGACGCGCGTCAGGCTGGTTTTCGGAAGGGTCACTCAACGGAGACTGCGCTTCTTGGCCTCCTGGATGACGTGCGACACGCCACCGAAAAGAGGCAAGTCTCCATCCTTATCCTCTTTGACTTCTCCAAGGCTTTCGATCGCATCTCCCACTCTCGCCTAATTCGGAAGCTCCGTAACCTGAACGTCTCTGATAAAGCTCTGAGGTGGTTCTTCAACTACTTGGCTGATCGCATACAAGCAGTAGTTGACGGGGGAGGAACCGTTTCGGAGTGGCTTCGTGCGGCTACTGGCGTCCCGCAAGGCAGTGTTCTTGGTCCCCTGTTGTTCGCCGTGTATATTAATGACCTTCCATCCGTGCTTATTTTCGCCAATTATATGATATACGCGGACGATACACAGGTGTACCTCCACTGCTCACCGCACGAAATTGAGCGTGGCCTTGCTCAGATCCAGCAGGATGCTCAGGCTGTCGCCGACTGGGCTGCTGAAAACGACCTCAACCTGAACCTGGCCAAGACGAAGGCTATGATTCTAGGGAGCGAGCTTTTTATCTCCTCCCTAGATTTCACCATCTTGCCTCATATCACCATCAATTCTACCTTCATCTCCTTCGTGGCAGCAGCAAAGAGTCTCGGTGTCACCCTCTCCCCGACCTTCCAATGGAAAGGCTACACTACCGAGATAGTGAAGAAGGTCTACGGCTCACTCAGCTCGCTGAAATTCTACCGCAAGTCCATGTCGCTCTCCCTCCGCAAGTCGCTAGTTGAAGCTCTCGTCTTCCCACTTCTGAATTTTTCCTCCACGGTCCTTATGGACCTCGACAAAACGCGGACTCATGACCTCCAAGTAGCACAAAATGCCTGCGTGCGTTTTGTCACGGGTTTCATACCCTTCATCCCAACCAGCGATGTGACCACCCACGTCACTTATCACAGACTCCGCCTTCACTGGCTTACTTTGTCTTCTTCGCGTCATCTTGCGTTAGCCAGACTCCTCTACAAAGTTGTCTGTAATAACGGTCCTACCTATCTGACCCCCCATATCGCTAATCTAAATCACGTTACCTGCTCCCGGCGCTCTCTCCACAATATTCCAGCTGCCTTTCAATTGCGAGCTCCACGCACTGAAGCCTGGAAACGGTCGTTAGCAATTCGTGGTATGGACCTTTTGAACCAACTTGCGGTCACCGACTTTGACCTAGACCGACTCGCTGAATTCAAACGCTGGATGTCTGAGCTTCTCTTTCTCCTGGAGCTTGACGAGTTCACCCAAAGTGCTACTCATGAGAACATGTGTAACATGAATGCCCTCACTCTACTGCCACAAGTCCAGCGACCCTACAATGTATCGGCCTTCGCCCCCAACCCCTCCTACCTACTTGTACCAGGTCGCTACCTTCAGTACAACCTCTTACCTCACCAACCCCAACCCACCCTCGCATCTAAACTCTAACCTCCGCGCACCTTCAAGCTCTTACCCATGCGTACTCAGCGTCGTCTAACAAAGCTCTAGCCTAAGTTTCCATCCCCCAACCGCCGCGCCTCCCGCTGCGTACCCTCGTCGTATTGCGCCTACTCTAAGCTTAGTAATTTTAAGATAGTCTTAAGTATTAAATGTATTTTCAATGAGGTGCCTCTCATTGCTATCTGCGCGCTCGCCTCAACTAGAAATGTAACGCTCTATACACACAAATTGCATTGTTTATCCACCACATACTATACTCACCTGCCTACTTATGTAACGATATTATATTACCTGCGTGCACTGTATCCTTCCTTAAGCCAACGGGGTCATACCCCATGGCTCAATAAATGTTTAATCAATCAATCTTCCAACAGGCTATATTTGTATGCATTACCCAGCGGGTAGATGGAGTGGGTGTCGATAATTAGAAATTGCATATTGAGAGACTAAAGTATATATTATATAATTTATATATGTATATATATATATATCGTTCCTTAATTATTTAAATGCTTTTTTATACATAAAGATAAGGTTTTAAAAACTCTGAGCGGATATGTTGATAAATCTTGCAGAAGTAGAATGATGCCCCTATATTTTTATATACTTGACAGTGTATCTGTCTTATTTTTGGTCCTATCTTTGGAAATAAACCTTTATTTTTCGGGCAACTTGCTGCGTAATGACCTGGCTGATAGCAGAAGAAACAATGGTTCTTCGGGCATTGTCGGTAGTTATGGTCTCCTTGGCAGCATTTGCATGGTTCTCTACTCTTTTTGTCGGTCTGATTATTATTTGCTGAATTATTTAGTTCTATCAGATTATTTTGAAATGGTATAAGTGAGAGCTAATTTCATCTTGTTTCTGGTCCGTTCGATAGTGGTCCCATTTGATCTGGTCTATAACCTTGAGCTTGATGTTGATCTAGGTTATGACTTTGCCCGTTGGTGTGTTCGTTATTCGCCGTCGGTATCTTCTTCTGATTAATTCAATTTTGTTTCTGTTTTACCGGTGGGTAACACAAGTATTGATGCAGTGCTTGGTATGTTACCATTTGTGCCATCATAGGTGCTGTGTACGTATTTTGTTGTTTGGTCTGTTGTTGTATCAATTCAATAAAACTTTAAAATAAAATACCTACATGGTCATTTATTTTAATATAGTAAAAGTCTCATGCCTACTAATCTCAATGATAATTCATCTCTGGAGTCAACAGTACGATTTTGTACAAGGAAATTAACCTACAGCTAATTATACTAAATTTAACTCTCATTTTATCTTGTGGCCGTCTCAGTTTTATTACCATCCTGCTCTTGTTCAGTCTCATACCCGTGGTAAAGCGTCTTCACGTTGACCGAAAAGAAACAGTTGAGTACCTATTATACGGGTATTTGAGTAACTATTGTCAATCCGCGGCCATTACTTGCGACGTAACAGTTGGAAACCACACCGGGTTTTTATTATTAACAAAAGCAGGCTTAGGCAAAATTTTTTTTCTTAAATCGACATGGCTACGGTGGTTGAAAAGAGAGGTAAACGAAACGTAGAAGCATTGATAGTTCTAAAAAATTGTATAGGAAAAATAGACGCAAATTTCATAATCGGTAGAGAACCAACATTATTGGAATGCATGAAATTTTTGCATGCGCGTCAAGATATAGGTTTTGAAATAGGAAGCAACAAACAACAAGAACTAGATAAATTAATGAAAATTTTACAACATTATATCGATGGAGAGTTAATAAGGAATATATGTCAAGATCCACTTTTATTGCTTATTATAGGAGAATTAACGAAACGCAATATAAGCCCGAAAGAAATTTTAGAAGCAGTGAATCGCACTGACAAAGTAGTACAATTTGAAAATAAGTTAAACATTTCATTCGTTGTTATGACAGATTGTTTTAAAAAGTATAAACTCAATCATATCGTTTTCTTCGATCAATAAAATTTGTTATTAAGTTTCAATCTCCTAGTTATTGTTTAATACTCGTAACAGCCGACGAGTCAAGAGAATTTTTCCAATCTCTGACAAACTTGATAATTGACGATGATAACGACGACGAGATAAATAAAACACAAAATAAAATAACACCTTCGAATCAGAAAAACGTAAAATTTTCAATACCAAATCTTAACGAAAGAAGCGATCAAGTAATTAATCAAAACGCGAAAAGTAGTAATACAGAATATTTTACCCCCAAGTTGACATTCAGATCATTTGCCAATGCAATACCAATTCATCATTCAACACCACAAGATTCAACGCGTACAGTGCAAAATTCTACAATTAGCCTATGAGAAATGTAGGTTTGAAGGATATTGTAGATTTTATTCCAAAATACGACGGATATTGTATTCCGCTATATGATTTTTTAGACGATTGTTGAGAAGTCTATAATGTTATTCCACCCGGAAACAAAGCAGATGGCAAGATCAGTTAAAATGCGATTGTATGGGGATGCATTAAAAAGTATGCGAGGAAAATATTTTGAGATAATTAGTGAAATTGAAATATACTTAGATCATCTGTTCGGATCACACAAAACTTTCAATGAACTCGCAGGTGAGCTGACCATACTCATGCAAGGAGCCTCAGAAAATGTAGTAAAATTTTCAAACAGAGTTAAAACAGTAGCGCGAGAGTTAGTAAGCAAAGCGGTGCGAGAAAAAAAGTATAATGTAGGATTTGTAAATCAATTAGAAAAGAACAAAGTCAAATGTTTCATCCGCGGCTTAAGCTGGGTGATTAAAGCGTAAATGGGACCGGCAAAATATCTAGTAAACGCAACGGCAAAAGTGGTAGATTAAACGCAAATTTAATTTTAATTAAATTTAATTTAATTTAATTTTAATTTAATTTTCAATTTTAACGGCAACACAAGACCCCGATGATCTTAGTCAGACAGTAAAAGTACTGACAGAAGCAAAAAAAGAACTAGCAAACATAAAAAGTGTAAATGTAGTGAAAGCAGATAACTCACAAGCATGTCAAATTTGTAAGCTAACAAATCATTTAGCGGATATTTGTTTTTACCGTAACAATGGCGGTACGAAATCCAGAAACGAAAGATTTATTAGCAACGATGGGAAAAATCAAATCAAAATTCAGCCAATAGAGAAAGAATTAATCAGCAAGTAACCCCGCCCCAAGCGAGTCAGAACTCGAAACTAAAAAATCAATGTCAGGGGAATTTTAATTCTAATAATCGCGGACCAGGAAATCCAAATAGAGATCCGACAGCTTGTAATTATTATTGTATTAAAGGACACTGGAAAATTAGATGTAACAAACAAATTTTTAACGAACAAAAAAAATAGTAACAGGGAAACGCCAGTGGTTTTCAGGTGACGGACGCAACCGGGGAAACAAGCGGGTAGAAGGAGCGCCGAGCATAAGTAGAAATACAAAAAAGTTAGAAGTAACGAAAAGATTGGTGTTGTTGAATTTAAATAATAAGTCACCAACTTTCATTTTAAGAGATAAAAATTAAAACATTAGTCTTTCTATCATGCTTGACACTGGTACTGGAAGATCTCTACTCAAATGGTCTAAGAAACCTGCGGAAGCATATTTGAACAAATTAAACATTTTAGAGCTACAAGGCATTACTCAAAATAACATAGCAATATTAGGAAAAATAAATATTAGAATAGAAGATCTAGAATTCGAATTTCGTATGGTACCCGACGATTTATCTATCGAAGAAGACGAACTAATCGGTAGCGAATGTTTACGTAAGATTAACGCAAGAACAGATTATAAAAGCAATACTCTGAAAATTGCTGATAAAGTTTTTCCTTTATCAATAAGCAATGCAAATGCTAATAATGAAATTATGACGTCGCAAGATAGTAACAGTCGTTCAGAATCACTAACAAATTGTAAGACTTATGCTAAAGTACGCAAAAATCAAGTCGACAACTCCAGCAGTTTTAATTGCGAGAATAGCTAGCAATAATAAAGAAAGCAATGAAAATTTAATGAAATGTCTTGAAGCGGGTAAAAATAACGTTCGTTAAATTAGTGGGAGTGATTTCGAACACAACCGTTCGAATAGAATTAGAATGAATTAGCAAAAACTCGAAACCTGTCAATTTGAAAATCAACAATCTGAAATTATAATTTTCAAATTAGGCCAGGAAAAGATAGCGATGTTAAAAATTGTAAGGTTCAAATTTTTGAACCTGAAATCTGTACATCTAAAATTAGTAACTTGAACTTTGAAAACTGTGAGAAAAACTCCGAAATTAGAAAAAACTAAAATTCATACCCACTCTGTAATTTAAGATCAGTAGACAAAGAACACGAGAGTGCACGCCGAAGTTCCGCGAAAGTTAATTGGTTGATTACTTAGAAGTAAGGTTAAGCAAAGCCATAAAAAGGCGTACTCGATAAAAATAATTCGGATGATAAAATTTACCCGATGAAATTGTCAATGTCAGAATGTAGGTTAGGTATAGAGTCATACTATAAGTCAAAAAATAGAAAAATAATAGCAAGGATTGCAAAAGTGTACATTGTTATCATTATACTGACGAGAGTACGCTATTGGAGAGAGTTAATGAATATATCAAAAACAACAATAACAGGGAAACGCCGGTGGTTTCCAGGTGACGGGTGCGACCTTGGAAACGATCAGCCAGTCGGAGCACCAAGCTTAAGTAAGAATACAAAGAAATTAGAAGTAACGAAAAGACTGGTGTTGTTAAACTTGAATAGTAAATCACCAACTTTTATTTTAGAAGATACAAATAAAAATATCAGTCTTTCTATCATGCTAGATACTGGTGCTGGATCATCTCTACTGAAATTGTAATTCCGAAATTGGACTAGAAAAAGCTAGCAAAGTTAAAATTAGTGAACGTGAAATCTGTTCATCCGAAATTAGAAATTCGAATGTTGAAAGTTGTACAAAATCAGAAATTAGAAAAAACCAAAGTACGTACTCAGTTTGTAATTTGGCATTAGCAAACAAAGAATGTAG